GCATGGGGCTATTTTCATGCCTTCTTCAATTGCATCGTTCAAGCTTCTTTCCAGGCGCTCTGGTTCTTCGAAACAGCCTGTCAGAGACACAATCGGGACGTCGATTTTCGAAGCAAGGAATCTAATGAGCGTCTTTTTGCCAATTCCAGGCGGGCCTGAGAGCAGGATTCCTGGGACCTTTCGCCAGCGGCTGAGAGCGAACTGCTCTGGCCATTTCAAAACGTGATGTGTTTGTTTGCAGAGCTCTGTGTAGATTTCGGTCACGCCTCCGATGTGTATCGAGCTAGAAGGATGTTCGACCTTGTGGCGGCTCGTCTTTTGCGTTTTCTTCAGAGGTGCTTTGTCTTGCTTTTCCGTAGGCGCAGCATCTGTATCCGTCATGGCACCCTTAGGCGTTATTGCTCCATCCTTCGCCCGCTCTTCGCCATCTTCCTGCACTCGTCGCTTCTTGATCGCGCGAGGTGCTTCGCCGGTAGGTGGAGTCGCCGTTTCTGCAGCCGTAGCGGTTGGCGTGCTCTGATGCCAGTGCTTCGTCATTTGTCTGTTGAGAAGGAAACGCTCGTCGTCGGGCTTGGGTGGTTCTTCGAGTTCAGCTTCAGAGTCGCTTGAGTCGCCTAGCTCTTCTTTGCGGAATTGAAGTACACGATCGATTGAATCTTCCAAGGGGCGCTTCTTTTGTCGGCTGAGGCTGGAATTTGACCTCTTGATAGCGTCATAGACGGCTGTTGTGGTCTTGAAGGGCTTGCCGTCGTTCGCATCTTCGAGCTTCTTCATAACCATGTATACATCGCGATCGAGGCCCTGCCTCAGGTTGAGGCGAGGCCTTTTGGCTCCTAGAGTCATTATCACTAAGGACTATGTCGCGTCACCGACGATCGGGCTTTGGTGTTGATGGGAGGTTCAAGATTTCCGAAGACTGAACGGGGAAAAAAAAGTTAAGTGCTGGGATGGTGACAAAATAAAAAGAACAGCCAGTGCTTCAGAGACAAATATGGTTCTTTAAGATTGAAATTGAAACTGACTTACTACCACTTTCGTGAGAAATACAATTTAATGCTTATATATCAATTCGACTCGTTTAGTCGTATCATGACTCTCAGCGTTCTTCCTCGGTGTTGTGTTATGCCTTACATGGAGTTTATATCTTACTTACCTAGGTACTGGCCTTACAATGTGTGTGACCAGATACCTATTGTACAATTGAAGTGGTCCTACTATTTGACTTACAGATAAGGTATATCATTAGATCTAAACTCAGGAAACTTGCTATAAATCTCTTATGCTTTGCTCAAAGCTTTACCGAAGTTTTATAATCTTTACTATATGGAAACGTCAGGTCAATAATTACTATTCAGAATCTGCTCAAGGTATTATGTCAACTTAGAGGGGTCTGGCTTATCGATAAGATCCTGGACCCCAGTATCGGCGCCGATGACGATGGTCTCCCTCGTGACAATCGCTCGCTATCATTGAAGCGAAATCAGAAACCTCACACTCCCTGCCTCGACTTGAACAGCCAACACAGCTTCTCCTGATAATCTCTCGATAAGCTCATACGCCACCAAAACCATCCTCACGATTCTCATCATGGGCGGAAACGCAAGTAAAGTCACAGCCCAGGACAAGTCCGTCTCTCCCACCCCCCGCGATTGCGCTCGTGACCGCCTTCAATACTAATAATCTTCAGGGCCATCCTGGACATGAAGAACCAGCGCGATAGACTTCACCAATACCAACGGCGCATAACAGTCCTCACGGATAAAGAGACCGATATCGCAAAGCAGATGCTGGCCAAGGGTGACAAGAAGCGCGCTCTGCTAGCCCTACGGCGCAAGAAGTATCAAGAGTCACTACTAGCCAAGACAGATGCGCAATTAGCTCAGCTGGAGAAATTGACGAACGATGTCGAGTTTGCGCTTATACAGAAGGATGTGGTGTTTGGTTTGCAGCAGGGTACAAAGGTTCTGAAAGAGATTCATGCTGAGATGGGTGGTATTGAGAATGTGGAGAAGTTGATGGGCGAGACGGCAGAGGCTATTGCATATCAGCAGGTATGTTGACTCTATACTCTTGCAGCACCGGCTGCAGTATACTTACACTCTTCTAGGAAGTTAGCGATATGCTCGGAGGTCGTATCTCGAACCAAGACGAGCAAGAGGTGGAAGACGAACTGGAAGCCCTCGAAGCCGAACTCACAGGCCCAGCCAAGTTACCCTCCGTACCCGTGGCGAATCTACCAGAAGTACAGAAGAATCAAGAAGTCGAGGCACAAGCCGAGAGAGCGAAGCAACCAGCAATGCTGGCAGCATAGACGAGGAGCGAGCGAGACATTTTGGATTCAAGCCATTTTGGACAGAGCATTTTACATTTCGAGACGTTCTACTATACTTAGACTTGGGTGTATACAGCGGGCAACACGAGGCGTTGAGGCATTTCTGCATTTGAATCATGAAATACAGTATCTTGAACTTCTATCTGCTATGTGTACTTGCTGATGAGTTTTCTCATGATGGACATGGCGCCTCCTCGGTAGCCACCGCCGAACATGGCATAGTGGTTGAGGTGGTGGTATCTGAGACGATATTAGTACTGTGGAGTTTGAGGGAAGGGGTGGTCTTACAGTTCGTATAGCTTCACTCTGTCTGGCCACTCAGCTACTGGCTCTGCCTTTGGCACCAGGTTGTGGTACTCTTTCCAGAAGTGATTGGTGAAGCCTCCAAACATGTTCATGATACCGAGCTCAAACTCAGAGTGGCCATATACAGCTGAGGGGTCGTAGACAACTTCTTCGCATCCGCCTTGGCCCGCGATTTGCCCTTTGGAATGATTTCCGCTCCATAAATCACCATGGATAACGACAGGCTTGATGTTCTTTACAACACCATCCCCAATGAGCCGTGGAACTACCTTGCTAGCAACTGTCTCAACAACTTCTTCGAGTTCTGGATCAGCACCATTGTTGCGAACTGCCTGACGCGCGATGTGTCTCAGACGGTTATTAGCGTAAAAGTCAGCCCACGAGTCTCGCCATGAGTTATCTTGCTCTGTAGCACCGCAGCATGTAGGTACTGGGAATCCAAACATGGGTTTGTCGTATCCTTCCGGGATGGGGGCTGGTGTTGTGTGTAGCTGCGCAACCTTTGAAGCTAGAGTCTTGCCTGAACCACCAGGTGCTGATGACCCCAGATCGAGAAAGTCAGTAGCGAGGAAATATTGACCTGGGCGGCCTGTGAGGGCTCCGTGGGCATGAGATCTTGGACAGAAGTTGGGAACTGAGTCTGCTATGGCGTTAAGGGAGGCATGTTCACCTGAGCTCTGTTAGATCATGATATCAGACAGTAATGTATAAAACATGTACTGACCCCTAAACATAACTTCCGCTTCCTTCCCTGTCCCAGTCTTGACAAAGTAATTCAAGGGCTTCCCGTCCTTCTCAGACGTTATCTTGAAAGTAGAAGCAAAGCCCGATCCACCATGAGAGTTGATAGCCGAGTTGGCGGGGTCCAGCCCCAGGGCCTCAACGATGGCGGGGTCGACTTTTGTATGTGGCATAATATGCAGAGGTTTCGGGGTATACAAGTGTGGCAATATTTAGGTACGCGAGTTGTTTGCGGTGTTTTCCAAACTCGACTTGGCTGATATGAAGATGGGAAGATTGAGTGGGATGATGAGGTGACGTCAAAGCTTTGGTGTTAGTAATGCGAGAATATGCACGGAAGCTTGGAGCATTGCAACGTAGTGACTTATCCTGCTTATTTTTCTGAAATTATTTAGATATAGAGGTATAGATATGATGTTATCATTTCATCATAGCAAGATGTGACCGTAGACGTTGTTTAGTGAGTATCCAAGCCGTGTGTCTCTGTAACTAGACTGTTCGCTTCACCAGGGCGCCTTCAAGACCACGACCAGGCCAAGTTCGTTATCAGAGCAAGCAAAGGACCATCTTGATCTCGTGAGTGCAGCACTCAATCAAATAGCATCGCTCTCATGGGCCACTGCTGCTAGAAGCCTAATCGGAGGTCCATGTCCACATCTCCAAGGCCGGAGCTTTTTGACCCGGAGTGGGTGGGGCCGGTCGGAAGCTAACTGTAATTCACGGCGCCGGTCTTTTGCATACCGGGCCGTCCTCCGGATAGTCTTGCAGAGAAGAAGCCGTCTCTCTTACTGTAAGGAACTATATTCAAACATGCGTGTGCCAGGGTAGAAGTGCGAAACGAGTTTCTTCGGCATAGTCATCAGATTAGAAGATACAGTTGCTGACAGTGACACTTTACATAGACAACCAAAGAGCTGCCCCCGATGAACCTATAAACAGTAATTTAAGCAGTGAGGTAACCAAGTCAGAGATTATCTCATGTCTCATGTTGAGCCAAAAATGTACTAGGCTTACCATGTCACGAGTGAATGGGCGAGAATCTCGAATACTACATAGTATGACATTTGCAGCCCAATTCCATGCTTTTCTTTTGTGGGTGCCAGAAGACCTTAGATCTGAAGAGTACCTGCAGGATCTTCCAGATCACTCTACTCTTGGCCAATATCTTGAATGACAAGGCAGTTGCTGTGCGGCTCCTGGTCAAACAGATCCTAGCTGTTTCTACTCAAATCATACGGTCGCTTCCATGAAGAGAACAGGGGATGATCGGGTCCGACCATGATGATACTTTCACATTACGATGATACAATAATGAAAGGACATCTTCTATACTCTATTCAGTAGTATCAGGCAGGTACCTTATCTAACATAATAATACGTAAACTCCGCCTCGGAGCCGATCCGAATCAGCACTCCACCCATCGGATGAGCCCACATCGGCCCCGTCAAATCCAAGCCCAATCAAATTCCCGTCATGTTTCTGATGTGACAATGACATGCCTTGTTATTTCCGAGCAAACGCCAATCGCAAGTAATGGTATAGATCAAGAACTCCATAAGATAAAACTCGCTGTTCGTTCCGATAGTAATTCGTCAGACCGGGGTGTGTGTGTGTTCGGTCTTATTGCTTGGTGGGGGTCTCAATGTATGAGGATGCAGCGTATGTTGTACCACTGCTGAGTGATGCATTGTCTGAGTCAACGGTTGATGATTGTGATGAGGAGGACATGGAGAATGATGCTGAGTTGTTGGAGTGTGAACCACCGTTGAAGCAGGTTGTGCATGGGCATAGAGGGTTGTTGGTCATTGGTGGAGGAGGTGCACAGTGACGAGCGAACCAACTCTTGACTGAAGAAGGCATCTTGAGTATGAGTGAGGTTGATGTAGTTGTTATCGTTGAAGTAGTGTCGAGTAAGGTAGTAAGATAAAGATGTAAGACTCGTTGGACTGAAGGATATCTCAAGTGTAACGTGAAGTTAGTTGTGTGTAAGTCGCTTGCTAAGATCAAAGAAGACAAGAATAAACTACAGTTCCACGAAAGAATGAAGAGGATGTCTTGGGTATTTATGTTTCTTCACTTCTATAGCATGTGGGACCAACAAACCAACCCGAGCTTCTCCTTTGCAAAAGTATTCTTTCTTATGCATCAAAAATCTCGAAGCCATCCAAGCCCAAGACTAGACCAAGGCCATCCCTGACCCATGCACGGCAACAAAATGGGGCAGCCTCCTCTTCTCAGCCGGATACCGAGAGACGTCCGGGAAAAGAGTGGGTTCGCAAATCTACAGATCAAATCACGATGCCTTCACTTTTTACCACGTCTTCTTAGACGTTTTATATCTCCTCCTGCGAATCTCTCTCTTGACCGAATATCCCCAGAGCCAAGACCCTTTCTTACATGGGATGGATTATGGCGCGGTTTTTGTTTCCCCTCACGAGAAGTAAATCTCCATTTCCCCGCGTTTTCCCCCCAATCGTCGGCCTGGGGAATAGGGGACACGTGCTAGACGGGGGATAAGCGCGGCAACTGGTTAAAGTTGTGGCCTTATTTCGACGTGCAGTCGCAGTTACATTGGGTTTAACGGCTTGTGAAGTTTGGGTGTTGCGTGTTGAGGAGGAAGTGGTTTGGAGGCGTTGGCACGTGAGGTCGACGGATGATTGAGTGAGCTCACTGCGAGCCGGGACTGCAAAGGTATAGCATAGAAGTAATTGGCTGTAGAGTTTATATTACTGTTTGTAACAACTACTATGGTCTAATGGTAATAGGTATGTTGTTGTCACAAGCTGATAGATACTAAACCGACCTATAACCAGTAACGGTTGACTTAGACGCCTTTAACCTCACTTATAAAAACAACTGCAAGTAAACACAATTAACCCTTCTCGAATCTCCCCTTTCTCCAAATCACCCTATATTCCATCATAGCTCACCATCAGCCTCATCTCTATAATCCCCAACATCACGAGACTCACCATCATCTACAGATTCCATCTCAGATTCTCTTCCCGCGTCGGTCTTGGGTCGGCATTCGCAAATCCTACCTCACACCTCCTCTCGCCTCTATGAAACTTGCTTTCATGCGGCTCTTCCGCAGTGGATCTGGAAATGAAACCGACGCAATTCCCGCCTCGAACCTCAACGGAACGAGAACCCATTGGTTAGAAGCTGTTGCCCCTTTGCGGCTCGATCCGATGTCTTATCTACGTCAGGAGATTTTCATCATTGAGACGTGGGTCTTTGGCAAGGGGAATAACCGAGGATAAGCTGGGAAAATCTTGTTCAGAGATTTCATTTCGTGAGTCATGGATATCTGTGCTCAAGGGGGGTTATCATACACATATGATGTGATAAATGCTGTGGAGATGAGAGGTGAGAAAAGAGAAAAGTCATGATATGGACAAGGAGTCGTGGAAAGTTGAGGCTGACTTTAGGTTGTGATGGTGTGCGGCGAGACGAGAGATCGCCAAGCCTTGCCCATGATGGTTGGTCTTCAACTACACGTTGATGATCTGAACTAGAGTTATTCCCGAATGATTTCTTCTTCCTTCTTGTTTCTTTCACTTGAACAGGCCCTCTCAATATTCGACATACTATCTATCATCTAAATTTAATCCATTAATAATGCATTTTGTCAACAAGCTGAAATCATCCCATTATGAGCTAAGAATGCGGCTCTGAGACGATGCATGAAATTGGATGGACCCTTACATCCGAGAGGCTTATTAGCCGAGTCTGGACCGAAACATCGAATTGTCTTCTTATACATAATTAGTCCAACAGCCCATCTGTGACTTGTTCCGTTCACTCAATAGACAGACTTGACTTTGTTGAGAATGACTCTTCCGGCCCCTCAGCTATTCACACCACTCAAGAACCCGTCGCAATACCATGTAGACTCCAATCAAACCAAAGTTGGCTGCGTGGAACAATCATCTTCTATCATGCCTGGGGTCGAAGGGAGTGCAATTATGAGTCTTGAGAGTCTCAGTGTCTACTCATCTCACGAGATATGACGACTCGTTACCCTTGATCTCACACGCCAAGCCAAATCACGAATCATAGCATTAGGAACACAACAGCTGCAGGGCGTGGATACGCGAAAAATCATCTTATTGGAGACCATATCGCCCGTCCATCCTTTGAATCATCCGTCCTTCTATCGAACCAATCGGACACATTCGAGAGCATCGAAACCATGTGTCTTTACGAGCAGCGAGCTCTCCAAAGACCGACCGATGCATGCTAAATTAAAAAAACAGGAATATCCACCCATGTCTCCCACTCTTTTTCATGAGTGTTTGTTTCATCTACTCTCGGTTTTGGTTGGAACCGCAGCCTCCTGGAGCTCAAGTCTCACATCTTGTTATTATATCATATCCTTCACCACTGCTCATCTAACAGCATTTTCAAGTGGAGCTGTTTAGATACCGAGGGTGAACTCGACACCGACATCGATGTCACGGGCTATTCGAGTGTTAGCAATCAGAACAGGCACTATAGGGGTCAAGGCAACTTACCCATCTTGACGACCTTGGACAGCTGGACAGCCTTCTCGGCGGCGGTTTGTAGGTCATCGATGGAGAAGATCTTAAGACCGGAGTCGTTGATGAGCTGGTGAGCCTGCTCAACGTTGGTGCCCTGGAGACGAGCAATGATGGGAATTCGGAGGTTCATGCTCTCAACGGTCTTGATGAGACCAGTGGCGATAGCATCACATCGGACGATACCACCGAAAATGTTGACAAAGATGGCGGTGACCTTAGCATCGCTGGTGATGAGCTCGAAAGCCTCTCGGATAGCAGCCGGAGTGGCACCACCACCAACGTCGAGGAAGTTAGCGGGCTGACCTCCGTTCAGCTTGATGATATCCATGGTGGCCATGGCAAGACCGGCACCGTTGACAAGGCAGCCGATATCACCGTCAAGCTTGATGAAGTTGAGGTTGGACTCAGCAGCGCGGACCTCATCGGGGTCCTCCTGGGTGGTGTCGCGCCACTCAAAGACGTCCTTCTGTCGGAACTCGGCGTTGTCGTCGAAACCGAACTTGGCGTCCATGCAGAGAACCTTGTGGTCGGAGGTCTCAGAGAGGGGGTTGATCTCAATCTGGGTAGAGTCCTTCTCGGTGAAGATCTTGTAGAGCTTCTGGATGGTGTCCTTGGCCTCCTCGATGCACTGCTCGCTGAAGCCAAGCTTAGTGGCAATATCGCGGGCAACCTCGTCGGTGACACCAACGTTGATGTCGATGTAGTTGGTGTTGATGGCATCGGGGGTCTCCTTGGCAACGGTCTCAATGTCCATACCACCCTGGGAAGAGGAGACAATGACGGGGCACTGGTTCTGACGGTCCATGAGGATGGCGAGGTAGAACTCACGGCGAGCAAACTTGCGCTCGCAAATGTAGACAGCGTTGCAGAGACGGCCGCCAGCGCCCGTCTGCTTGGTGATGAGGTTGTGGCCGATCATCTGCTCGGCGAACATCTCGGCCTCGTGGGGAGAGTAGATGACACGGACACCGCCCTTCAGGCCGTTGTCGAAGGTACCCTTTCCTCGGCCACCGGCAAGGACCTGGGCCTTGATAACCATATCATCGTTGCCAATCTTCTCAGCGATCTCCTTGGCCTCCTTGGCGGACTTTGCGACGGAGCCCTTGGGGACACCAATGCCGTACTGTTGGTGGTTAGCAGCCGTGGTTTCTTTTGAGGTGAGTCCCGTAGTTTGCATTTCGTAGTATCGACGATCGTCAAGGGGGGGACATTGAGTAGATAAAACCTTACCTGTCGGAGGAGGTCGGCAGAGAGGTACTCGTGAATGCTCAGAGCTCGTCGTTGTTGAACGCCGGGGAATCGAGCGGCAGGGGCAGCAAACTGGAGCTATTAACGTCAAGGTTAGCAACTGTTTGTATATATCAAGCGCATCACCAAGCTTTTGTTTAGCGGGCGATAACTGGGACGTACCTTTGAGGCGCTGAGGGCCGAAGCCACAGCACGACTACGGCCGAGCTTGAACATTGTGACGGATAAAGGAAGAGGGGAGATTGGGGATATGATCGAGAAAGAGGGGGACTTCGGGGGGATAAAGAGAAGGGGAGAGAGAGGGAGAGAGCGGTTTAGATCGTCACAAGGAGGTAACAGTAGGTAGAAAAAGAGGTTTTCGGATGACGAGGAAAACCAAATCCACGAAGCTACGGCGCTCAATCAATCAGGAGCCTCAGACCGACCACTAACCTAGGCCTGTGCTCTGTGGTTTGATCCACTATTTTGGGCACGGGATTTGTCGGGCTAACTTGGAGACAGACGGGAGACAAGTAGGTATTAAGTTAGTACGGAAAAAGACATTCACCGATTTGATAATGATATAATAATTGTTGTGTTTGATTGTGGTGCATTTCGTGTTTGATGATGATAGTGCCTTTGTTACCCGTTTCTTGTCTCTAAAACTGAATCTATCTATCTATACTCTGTAACAGACTTGACCTCAACGTCCTCGGCGATGCTATAAAACATATCGCTTCTCCGAGCAAATGACACGACATGACATGACATGACAGCCAACATCTGTTCCCGCGGGCTCGTCACATTTGCATTGCATTGGATCTCGGTGACCAAGATCCATCATCTACCGTCTCAGGGCTCTGGTAGTTCCACTCTTTTACTAACCGCCAAACCTGTTCCAGCGCGGCACAAGACTACCGGGCTATGAAAACCGGTCATGCAAATCCGTCTCGGGTGAGTCCAAGGTGAAGCACGAATAAAAAACGTTGTCGTTGGACACCAAAACGTCTCCGGGTTTCGGCTACAATAGGCTTGTTGTTGACCGTATTTCCCCCACATGGAGAAAGACGTCCAGTGATAGGATACCTGCCAAATGGAAGTCTTCATCTTCATGATGTTCTCTATTTTAGGTATACGAAATAGAGTTAATGTCTCATCAGAGACCAATTCATGTAAACCCGCTAAACGGTGTCCCTATAACCTTCCCCTTATCATCCCATCTCACTCCTTCGCCTCTCAAAAGCTTCCTCTTCTCATCAAGAGTGATTCCCTCACCATCTTTAGGCCACTTCCCCTTGAACCCACCCAGCGCACCTCCAGTAGCCACAACGCGGTGGCATGGCACTTCTGGTGCGAATGGATTCCGTCGCAGGGCATTCCCTACGGCTCTTGGTGACGACTTTAAATGCGCAGCCATGATACCGTATGTTGAGAAGCTCCCCCGTGGGATCTGGCAGAGAAGTGTCCATACACTCTTCTCGAACGGCGTGCGGCTGGATGCTTCGATGAGAGCTAGTTGAGAAGCCATGATTGTGGTGAAGTCGGCGGGCGAGGTTGGGGCAGTAGGTGATGATTGTTTCTCGGTCTTTGTAACTTTGACTTTGCGATCTTCTTGGGGCTCTTCAAGAGATCGCTTGCTTTTAGTGATGGCTGCCATAGCTTTGTCTCAACAGCAGTGGTACAATGAGTGAAGCGCGTTGAACTATATGTAAGGGTAAGTTCCAAGTTGTGGGTATTGGCTGTGTGATGGCTTGCAATGTCTGCATGAATTCAAAGAGTAAACGGAAGGGTCACGATTTAAATCACGGTCATTAAAGATGCGTCACGTCAAAGGGCGTGGTCGACGCCAACATCTAAAGCAACACATATCGCGAAGTCATGTGACCCACATCAATAGGCAGCCATACTGGTACATGCTGTACAAATAAATGGCTTAGATATAGATAATATACCAGAGAATGTATAATAGTAAATACTTCCGGGGGTGAAGTATCTCTTTATCAGCGTAGGCAAAGTGACATTCATGATGTGGCTTGTAGTCTCTCGACTTACACAAGCTCCATACGCAGCTTATAGTAAAGGACAGTCATGGATACAGAGCTAATCAGTTATACAATAACATCTATATATCTATCTTTTCACATATAAAAGCAAAAAGAAGTCATATTCACGGAGGATCGAAAAAAGAATTGTCAAGATTGGGATTCTAACCCAAGAATCTTTCGATACTGCAAGAACCCAGTTAACCGGACAAGACAACGTCTTGAGTGCAGCGCCTTAGAACACCCGACCATCTTGACCTCATCCGAAGATATGATTGATATAAGCAAGAGAAACAATCAGTCTGCCGTCTCATCTTCTCAATGGCTTCTACTCTGTATCCCAGATGGACCAGGGCATCTAATTCACTTGAGAACAGCTGAGTCTCTCCGGTTCATTTAGCATTATATGACAAACTTCTTCTCCAGTATTAACAGTCTGGTGCTTCGCGAGCTACGTCGTCTCACACATCGCAAGTCTTCCGTACTGAGCGTCCTTGCCCTAGTGCTTAACACGAGAACAGAGGGCAGGGCAAAGGGAAGTGTGACAGTAGTGGATTCAGTATGTGACCAATGATAACATTTTCACAAGTTCATCATTTCGATCTACAAAAGTTTCCCTTAATCGTGTCCATATCATTATTCCATGTCTCCTCATTTCTGTACCAAAAAGCGGCACGGTGGTATATATGTATGTATGTATGATGTTTTTCTCAAACAGAGGGAGGTGATGTCTCCAATCTAACCCAACGCCAATGATTATGCCGATCCTAGTTACGGGGTTGCCATGCCTGCTCCCGGCGGCTCCTGTTTTTGGTTTTTACAAGACGCGATTCGCAAATGCTTCTATGCATGCTGTTTTTCGCTGAACTTTAATCATTTCCGGACTCTCGTGTCTCTTGTGCTGAGAGGACGGGACGGCTTTTAGAACATCCCTTTCGTTCAAGCATGAATGACGTCGTCTCGTGAGTGATGTTTCGTTTTCGTATTTACTGGTGCGATGACCAAACGGTGGCCTCCATTCTAGACCATGAAGGACTCTCCGCAGCCGCATTCCTCCTCTAAGAGGTCTGTTAGTACTATGACGAGCTGTGACTCTTGTGGCAACTTACTGATGTTCGGATTCTTGAACACAAACCGCTGGTTAAGCTTGTCCTCAACATAATCCATCTCACTCCCAATGATGCTAAACAGCGCCTTGCTATCAATCAAGACCTTGACGCCATCTTGCTCAACCGTCTCGTCAAAAGCACCGGGCTTGTCGACGTATTCAAGATGATACGCCAAGCCACTGCATCCTCGGTTCCGTACTCCGACCTTGATGAGCTTCGGTTCCGGCTGATCCAGCAATTCTCGCAATTGCTCCACCGCAGAGGGTGTCAACTTCATAGCGGCCTTGCGCGGTCGTAGCTTAGATCGTGGTCTAGTTGCCTTTGGCTTCTGAGCTTCTGTTTCGCTGAGCTTCGGAGCTGATGCCGATGTGGCGGGAGTAGCATTGTGTGTTGGCGCGGGTTCTTGTTGCTTAGGTGGTTGAGGATGCTGAGGTTGTTGAGGAGGAGGTCGCGTCTCGTGGACTTTAGGAAGAGGATCAGGTTGTGTTATTGAAGTTTCGGGAACGTCGTCGTTTCTCGGAGGCGTCGAGGTATGTGTTGGGAGAGTGTATGAGTGGTAGGACACAGCGAGAGGTTTCGACGTTGAGAATTGCCTCAGAGGGCATCCTCGTCGCAGGGCGATTCTCGTTATCGATCTCGAGGCAAACATTGTGGGCGCATGTGGTGGTGTTGTTGTTGAGGTTGAGGATTGGTATCAAGAGAGGCAAAGGTTTAGTGGATGGATAGTGGAGGCTTATGATTTCAAAGCCCGGCTCCTCGGTGCTAAAAGGCGTTTGTTGCCGGAGACCGCTAGTACGTCAGAATGGCTCCCCGATCTTGTCCGAGCGAATCAGGGTGCGATAATTTGTCAGGCTCACGTGATGTTAATGGCCAGATTCAACAAAGGAGGACGATGACAGGCATGGCAATCATGACAAACAATGGCATCGGAAAGAGATCATAATGGTCTTTCTACTTCTTTAGCAATTGGTGAGTAATGTAAGTTGGCTCGGTTTGGAACGTGTTGTCCAGAGACTTCATATGTAGTACTACGTGAAGCTGGAATGCAATAGTTTTTATACTGATCCCCAAGACAAATTATGGCCATCAAGGTTTGTAATTTGGACAACCAGTCAAATAATCCAAAATAAATTTCTTACATAGTACAGAGTAGGACAGCCTTGTATGTAGTTTTCTGATTAGACTTACGGATAATGGGCATAAACTGTGGCTTAATTAATCGGCGCTCTATTGGAGGTTTTGCTTATACCAGATTCATAAGCTGGTATGGGTGTCGCCAACTGCCAACACGACAGGCTGTGCACCGGCATCTGTTGTGCTGTAATCATCATGCACACTTTATTTAGCTGCCATTGTCAAAGCAGTACCTTGCATGTCAAAACAACCCTATCCAATAGCCCCCCTTCCATACTACACAAGAACACAAAACGGGGGACGGGAACATTTATACACAAACCCATGTAATAATAGAACGACACCAAAGTACCGTGGATACCAGTTAACTGCAACAAGTCATGGTACCGAGGACACGGATCGTCAATCATGACCCATGCATCAGAAGCGATTGTTATATGCAGGCTCGCTAAACAGAGTTGCAACCAGATCAATGACAGTTGTTTATCTCAACAACGTAACATGCATATCAGTTACATAACTATCGCTATCACGATGCAGCAACCCAAGACTCCATTCCGATATCTCCAACCCCAACTCACTGTAACCAGGTAATCAATCAGTGGATCGCTTTATCTCGGTTTACCTGCTCAGAAGGAACACAACAACCCCAACAAATGCGGCTGAAGTGAAACGTAGTTTAAATCCACGAGTGTCAAATCAGGCAGGCCGTGGAACCGTTCGACGTGAGATATCGTGGTATCCGCAGTCTGGGCGAAACGTTACATGCGGATATAAATTAATTGGACCTCTGGTCAGAGCTTGGGGGAGATAGCTAAGGCTTGGGGTTATCGTGACGAGTGAGTATCGGATATTACGAGAGGAACAAGGCATTGCCGGAGCCAGTGACATATTTCTAAAAGCAAGATGGCGAGACGACAATTTTCGTAATGAGAGTTGCATCTTCGTATTGGTATTTCTATGTATATCTTGGGTGTTGTGACTTAAAGAGGCACAAAACGGTTGGTTATTGGTGAACCGTTCAACTGGTTACGGGCTGTGAAGTCTGGAGATTCGGTGCTGTTTAGCCAATCACGGAGCTTCACAGTCGGGCCTTTCCCCTGGAAGACCCTAAGAAGGCAGCTAAATTGATCTGGGGTTTGGAGGCAACTAAAAATGCTCAACGGCTTGTCTTGAAACGGCATCAGAAAAGTAACCATGAATTCAACATTGAAATGTATATGTTACTATCGCCAAGAAAGATATCACCAAGTTCAACTTGCAGATGATTCACAATCTATGACCTCAGCAGCCCAAGCCAGCCACTCTCATCTCAGCCTGGCAATCGAATCCACAATTGTTCTCACAAAGCTAAAGTCTGGTAGAACGTTACCAATGGGGCATCTGTGACATCCACGAACGTTACCGTTAGGGGACGCCACTGGAGCTGGATAGCCTCTCATGTTTGAGAAGTGCTACCCCATGGAGACCTTGGCTTTTGATCTTGTGAATCTGGGGAATACCGTGGACGTTTTGGGAGTGAGTTCGAGGTGACATTTCTGAATGTAGTTTCTGTGGTGGTTGAGATGATACGAGTTTGAAGACTTGGCGGTTCAAAGCAGTGAACTAGCACTCTATCAAGGGTAACGGAACTGACCTTTTTGCAGAGCCTCAACTCTTGATATCAATATCTCTATTGTTTATATGTAATACCTGACGATATCTTCATAAATCAACATTTAAAGATACTGACTGTCATCGTCGGCCTCGGCCGATACGTCGATAATAATGGAAAAATACCTTACGCCACCTCGCCCACTGTAAGCGGATCGACACCCTCCATCCATTGTTGCATCTCCCCATTAACCCCCCTGTAACTAACCCGCACCACCCTCACAATTCATTCCCCATCTTCCATTCGATCCATCCCATCTCATCCACTCTCACTCACCACTTGACGAGACCCCTGGCAATCCATTCTCTCTCTCTCTCTCTCCTCTCTTCGCCTTCTCGTGATACACACAGTTCCCCAATTGCAACTATCAAGGACGGGCAGGGGTCGGGTCTAGTTTATTTTTGGGGTGACCCTCACGATAGAGTACGTCGCGTGCCTGGATCTCTCCATCTTTTCTCGCGACTACTTTAATTCTGCTACATCCGGCATTTATCTGGGTTTCTTGGATCTCATTCATTCTTCTTCTGGTCTTTAATTGTCTAAAGAAGCATACCAATTGTCTTGTACAGGGCATTGACCCTCATCTCAACATCAACATACAACATGTCTACTCACGAAAAGGAAAACCCCATCGCCCAAGCGGCTTCAGAATCCGCAGACTCAGATACACCAGGCTTCCGCCCCAAAGGATGGATGTACAAGACCGTCCGTATCGCTGGCGTTGACCTCTGGTACGCCTCGCCCAAGGTCCAACTCCTCATGGTCTCCATCGTCTGCTTCCTATGTCCCGGCATGTTTAACGCCCTGACTGGTCTCGGAGGTGGCGGCCAAGTCTCCAATGAGGCTCAGGACCACGCCAACACGGCACTCTACAGCACCTTTGCTGTCATTGGTTTCTTCGCTGGCACTTTCGCAAACAGGCTTGGACTTCGTCTGACTCTGTCCATTGGAGGTCTGGGATATTGTGTATATGCTGCTTCGTTTTTGTGCTATTCGCATACTCAGAACATGCCCTTTGTCGTCTTCGCTGGTGCTCTCTTGGGTCTTTGCGCCGGACTTTTGTGGGCTGCTCAGGGATCTATCATGATGTCTTATCCTCCTGAGCAGAGCAAGGGACGATACATCTCTTGGTTCTGGGTCATCTTCAACATGGGTGCTGTCATCGGTTCTCTTGTGAGTACCTCTTGGACCTGGCTTTGAAGTTTTGCAGTCACTAACATATTCTAGATCCCCCTTGCTCAAAACATCAACAAGAAAGCTGGCCCCGTCTCCGATGGTACATACGCCGCTTTCATCGCTCTCATGGCCATCGGTGCCATCCTCGCCCTCATGATCTGCGACGCCGACAAGATCGTTCGCGAGGACAACACCAAGGTTATCGTCATGAAGAACCCTTCATGGAGCACCGAGATCAAGGGTCTCTGGGAAACCCTCTCCCACGCCCCCTGGGTCGTCCTCCTCTTCCCCATGTTCTTCTCCTCAAACATCTTCTATACTTACCAAAACGTCAACATGAACCTCGCTCAGTTCAACGTCCGCACTCGCGCTCTCAACAACTTGCTCTACTGGCTCGCTCAGATCTTTGGCGCCCTTATCGTTGGATACGCTCTCGATGCCTCTAGCGTCCGTCGCAGTGTCCGTGCAAAGATCTCTCTGGTCGTCCTCTTTGTTCTGACCTTTGCTATCTGGGGTGGTGGCTATGCCTGGCAGAAGGATCAGCGACCTCGTGAGATCGCCATGAACCCTGCCAACGAGGATGACAAGATTGACTGGGACGACGGTGCTCACAAGTTCCTTGCTCCCATGTTTCTCTACTTCTTCTACGGCTTCTTCGATGCTGCTTGGCAGACTTGCATCTACTGGTATATGGGTGCTCTCTCCAACTCTGGCCGCAAGACAGCCAACTTTGCTGGTAAGTCCCAATCATCATTTGTGTCCATGCCAGAGCCCCAACTCATCAAACCAGGTTTCTACAAGGGTATCCAATCCGCCGGTGCAGCCATCTTCTGGCGTCTCGACGGCCTCGGCAAGCCATTCGACACCATCTTCGCCGCTACATGGGCCTGCCTCGGTGCTTCGCTCGTCATTGCCGCCCCCGTCATCTTCATGAAGATCCAGGACTCCGTTTCGGTTGAAGAGGATCTTAAGTTCAGCGACGAGAAGATCGAGGACGTCATTGTCGCACCTACAGATAAGAAGATCGCCCTCACAGAGGCGTAGATAAGAGATATATATACAAGACTACTATTTATATGAACACTTAATAATTTAATGATATATCGGCGTTCAGTATGTATGCATTGGGGAGCTGGATGGGTACGCTGCGTATGGATTGGGTTATTGCTTGACGATGTGTTACATTGCATGAAGCGAGTTAAAGATTTACGTGTATATCTATGGAAATGCATATGCTCTCGGCGGTTTTCTCTTCATTTGCCTTCTTACATACAATTGTAACTCTGCCATTATGCTCAAAGTCACGACCATGCATGCAGTTGGCTCGCAGTAAGGTCACTTCAACTTAGCAGCCACATACATCACAGTTGCAGAGGGAAACATGTTTCAAGAAGGATAGATCCTAATTCTTCTTTTTGTTCTTCCTATTCTATTGCAGAATAACATCCATTTTGTCTTTCTTTTCCATCAACTGTCCTGCCTGTTCAGTCCTTGTTTCACCAGACTCCTTTCCCAGAAGTTCAATGATGAATAACAAACATGATACGACAGGTTGCCGTCTCTTTTTCATACAGTAAGAATCAGATACACTCGTTTTCGCGCCGACGGCGTTTGAGAATACATTAAAGAGAAACCCAAGAATTGAGGGGAAAAATAAAACAACCCAGGCACCCATGAATCGTTCGCAAGCCGTTTTCGAATGCACCCGTGCCCAGAGGTTATTTTTCCTTTTTCCACCGCCCTGCCCCATCTTCGCCTGAAGAGATAATACAGGGATGCAAAAACCAGGAAGAGAATGAATGTGAGAAAGTAGAATGTAAGAATGCGGGATGAGCTGTACCCTGAAATTTGGAGGGAGGCCGACCATCTCACAATGTGAGTGTCGAACCCCAAAGGACCCAGCGCTCGCGCTTCGTGATAAGATCCTTGAACAAGTTCCACCCATGGGAACCGAGTTGAAAACCGTAAAACATAAATTATCAGACCCAAATGTAAATAACGCCGTTGTGCTGATGGATATAGAGGTCATAAGGAACATGACGATGTTTCCCATCTGCTGAAAGAAGTTCAAACAAAAATGGGGGGTATCAAAGATGAAGTAGTTACTGGTGTGAGGTAATATGTGCGTGATAATGGTGAAGGTAAATTGCTGTTCAGTCCGGTAGGGATCTGATGCGATAAGCAAAATCTTATATCTGGGCAGGAGTTGGTGTTGAGGTGCCTCGGTCGCGGGAGATCCAGCTGAAGAGGTCGGGGCGACCACCTCCGACACCAACGATGGAGGCAGCCGAAGAGTCAACTGGAGGTCGGCTGGCAGTCTCGCGAGGCTCAAGGAGAAGACTCTTGCGGTAGTAGGTAACTTGGACATTGCCCTCCTCACTGCGGAGATGGCTGATCTGAGAAGACATCCAGTCCTGCATATCAGGTACTTCGGTAAGCCTGTAAGGGATCTGGAATCGCTGGAGCTCTCCAATGATCTTGGCAGTGCGAGTGTGCTTATCAAAGTTGACAACAGTGATGCCACCATTGCCATCCTCCTCAGACTCGGGGCCCAGGCACATTTGCTTGGTGGCAGGGTTGCCAATGTCGACAAAGGTCAAGTCGGTCAAGTACATGCCGAGGAAGGGTAGGCAAGGAGGAACATGGTCGTGAAGTCTTGTTCGCAAGACCTTGTTGTTCTGAGAAGGCTCGACCAGATCCTGAAGGTTCTGGAGCATGTCCTTGCGCTTGGTGGAGATGGCATCCCAAGTCTTTCGGAGGCGACTGATAGTGCTGCTGTTGAGACTGCAGATGATAGCCATAAGACCGTCATAGTTGTGGAGCTCAAGGCACTGGTGAGCAATCTTGATCCATTGCTTGATGACCTGAGCACGCTTCTTGACCTCCTGCTGCTGGAGGATAGTCTCAGCGACGAGGTTAGAAAGATCAGTTGACAAAGAGGACATGGCCTTGACATTGGGAGCGGCGACGCCACCATTCTTCATCCACTGTGAAGCAAGAAGCTCCTCAGGAAGGATAGAAGAGAATATATTCATTTGCTTGATGGTCAATTGGCGAGCCAACTCGAGAGGGTCAAAGTCAAGAATGCTCGGCTGGGCAACGCCCATCTTGAAAGCAGAGAGAAGGTTGAGCTGGCCCTTAGTGATGGCAGGAATGGGCAAAGGAGTATCAGCGGGCACGTATTGAGCAAGGGAGGTGTTGGTCTTGCCCATTGAGGAGACAAGCCGAGGCACCAGAGAACCCTCGCCAGAGACACGCTGAGCAAGCTCAAACAGACGTCGACCAGCAGAAGGCAGAGAGGACGCCAGCTTGTGTTCAGCAAAGGGCATGATCAGGTCAAGAGCATCGCGATCGGTTTCATCCCTCCAGTGGGACTCGAGCCAGCCCTTGAAAGCATTGTATACTCTCAAACGAACAGGTCCAGCCACATGAGGGGAGTCGTTAACGTAGTCATATCGCTCAATAAGAGCTTCAGCCAGTCGGATCGGTGTGCAAAAGAGGCGGAAAGTGAGGTAGAAGGTAGAGACAAACATGGCGTCGGGAGTAGATTCGTGGGTTGTGAGACGCTCGACAAGAGCGGGAAGAGAGCCGCCAGTAACTTGACCCTCCTTGTTGAACATGAGCTCGTGGGCAAATGTCTTCTCCATGAGTCTCGACTCGACATCAACATCCTCCGAGCTTCCACCGTTGCTCAAATTCGACAGCGAAGGCTGCTTCTGAGGGGCAAGATTCTGCTCAGGAGTGGTAGCTCGAGTGGAAGATTGTGAAACAATGCTGACCTCGGAGTCACGACTGAGGTAGGTGGCACTGCTGCCAGCGCTTGAAGCAACCATACTGTCGAACCGAGAAGAGGAGTTGAAGTCGTTATCATTGTTATCGACAGGGCTGTATTCCTCGCTGGCAAGGAGAGTGGTAGAAAGCTTGGGAAGGGGAGGTAGAGAAGGTCGAAGAGAGGAGATGGAGGATGCAACGCTGGAGACGGTGTCATCGGCAACTGACGAGCGTCGTGATGAGGTGGGTGAAGGGTGAACAGTCTGTTCATCAGTAGGTGTGGTCACCTGGGGAACCTCAGGAAGAGGCTTATCAATTGCGACAACAGTGAGGCGACGAGCATGTCCATTAGATGAGTTGGATGTTCGGTTGGAGCCGGCAACACTGACAGCGTCATTGTGCTCTGAAACAGATGGGGTCCTAGCTCGCTCCTCCGTATCGATGTCGAGAATGCTGAGATCAATTCCAAGGCTGCTAGTCTCGAGCTCGAATTCAAAATCGCCAATGCGCTCGATAGCGGATTTTGCCTTGGCAACGCAATCTCCAGCGGCCCTAACACAGCCCGTAGCGGATGCGAGGAGCATTGTGTTGTCATGGGGCATAATCAAATCGGCATCTTCAGAAGCAGCGCTGACAAGGGTATCGCGGGCAGAGAAGACTAGATCTTGGATTCGGGCGAACATGGTGGATCGAGCTCGGGCAAGAGCCTCAGAGCTGGAGTTGATGTGGTCATAGACGCCGTCAATTACTGCAAGCAATTCTCCACCTGAAAGCGCAGACTGTCGGATCGCTGATGCGAGCTCGGGGCGCGATTGTGATTGAAGATGCAGACGACCGATGAACGAGCCCAGATGAGACAGGAAGGTGTCGTGGCTGCGGTTCAGGCGCTCAGTAACTAGATGATGGGCTCTCGACACTGACGATGGGCCAGCAAGAGACACTCGGTGCGAAATAGTGGCCGACAAGCGGTGAGCTTGGGCTTGCGAAAGGCTTCCCTGAGACAACCTGTGGGAGCTCGGGCCAGTACGTCCACTGAGTGACGACAATCGCTTGTTGAAGATGGATGTTGATGTTTGTGTTGTCTCGCTCGATTCAGAGGCAGCGACACTGGCAGCAGCTTGGGAATCCGTGTCATTTATGTTTGTGCTGCGTTGGCTTTGTTCATCAAAGGAAGACTGATCAGCGGGTGGTGTTGGCGGCACGTATGATTCTTCAAGCACTGTATCCATAACAGTAACAGCTGAAGGGGCACGTGCCCTTCGGTCATCCTCGAGCACATCCATAAACCGAACTCCCTTTGTTACGATTCTAAAGGCTTTAAGGATCATTTCGTCGATGATGTCATTCACATCTTCAACGGGAGCAATTTCGAGACGTTGGGTCTCTTGTAATCGCTTTGCTGTCTTGACTAAGGACGATAGTTCAGAGAGAAGAGACTTGCGGCACTTGCGCAGAGCATCGTTCCTTTGAATATAGGTCGACTCTCGGTTGAGACAGTTTGTTCGTTCCTTTGTACCGTTAGAAGTTGATTGTCAAAGTGAACAAAGAATAACTCACCAATAGGAATCGAACACCAGCAATGATGCCCTTCATGAACTCCTGGTTGCCAAAGATCTCCTTATCATTGACTGATGTGCTTCGAAGCAGGTCCCAAAAGTTCAAGAGAGCTTTTAGAAGATTGCACATATCATCAGGCTCGTAAGCCTCGCAGTAGTTGGTCGGTAACCATCCTCGGGCGCCCGAGATAAGTAATGTGCCGTCAGCCCATCCATTGGTGTGAATAGAGTGCACGAGAATCACATCACCCTCGTTCAGAGGTAATGTCACACTCGAGTCGGACATGACATAACTGGGGTTGAAAGGATAGAAGGCTCGCAGGAAGTTGTGGAAGACTTGGGGAGGGATGTACTGAGGTGAAGGTGAGAGATCCTCCTGCGAGCCATTTGGTGTAGCGGGGGGTGTCATTTGTGATTGTGAGTAGAGAGTGTTGTCGTTTTCTAAGGTCGATGAAGCATCTCCAGATGATTCAGTTCTTGATTTGGCGATGGTAAGGGGAGCCACCTGGAGACTGGCTCGCATAGGCTGGTTGCTAAACATTGCGTGCGATTGCCGCTGACAATCGATGTCGCCGTTTAGATCATCGGGGGATCAACGGTTCGGCCGGTGGGTTTATACAACCACTCAAACCAAGAAATGATCCGGCTGTTTCTGTTCTGGTCTGTTCTGCACTGCTCAGTCCTCTTCTATCCCTTTCTCTCTAACAAGCAGTCGTG